AAGTCGGATGCAATGCAACCATTTATATTACAAGCATTGAATAAATCTGAAGTACTTATAATTACTTTAGTTAATATAATAAAATACAGTACAAGAACACAATTTAACAAACAGTGTTAATGTAAAATATAATTAATAAATTATAAATTATAAAAACTTTTTAATTACGACTTTCCAGTTTCAACTTTTAAAAGTAAGACAACAGATATAAAATATTTTGGATATCATAAAAATTTTTTTTTTACTTATTATTGTAACTAATAAAAGCTGTTGTTTTCTATTTGACTGATTCTTTTCCATTTTCACACGTGAACATATCTTACATGTTGATTCCAACGATTCCGTAGCTGTGTAACACAATCATTATTTAATTAATTAAAGCTGTTTTTCCGATTTAAAATCTTTCGAAAACTTTTTTCTTTTCCTAGGAAAAATTTGGAGCAGCACCAAATTATTCCGTAATTAATATTACCTTTCGATAGAGAAGGGAGCTGCAGGCGACGCGTATCCTCATACCGATCTGCTGCGATTGCATTATTGCATGTTGCAACATCATAGATGAGATAACATTCAAAATGAACAAGGATGCAGCATAGATCAGCACCTCGTTCATTTCTGTTTTGTTCTTCACGGTGAAATCTCTGGCAAAGTAATCGATGATCCAACTTATAAAAATCGGTATTACCACGCGCACTACACTGCACTGAAAACAAAATCGTTGATATCTTTATGATTCCAATATTGAAATTTCGTAATTCCTTATGAATCTAATGGATTTAAGAAGAGAAAGAGGAAAAGAGGGATAGAGAGAGAGGAAGAAATTCCAGACTAACAAATTTTCCTTTATTGTTAGCTGAATCTATGAATTGAGAGGATTAACATCTAACAATAAATTTTTCTGTTATTTCTCTGTATGGGAATAATTTACAACACTTTTTTAAAATGACCAACACATTTAATTGATCTAGCAATAAGTAATATCGTAAGTATTTATTATGACATGGTGTTTCTACTTAACCCTAGACTACCACACTGGGTAAAATTGATCCAACCTACCTATTTTGTTGCATAACTTTAGTTTAAACGCATCGATTTGAAATTTTTTTTTTAATCTATTCGCCAGACAGTAAGAAAAGTAACTTAATGGATAGTAACATTTAAAGATCTTAAGGACATAAACAATTTGTAAATGCAAAAATGTGAATCAGCTTTTATATCTTTTCCAAAAAAGGCTGATTTTTCTTTTACATCGCAGCTTTTTTCAGAGACGAATAGAAAAAAGTAGAGCATAGTTTCTAAAAGAACATGAGTGGTATTTTCAAAAGAAAAATACCTCATATGGCTCTACATTAAAAAACATTTATTTGACCGAGTTAACTAGACTGATTGTCGAACTTTACGCGCAGCTGGAATAGCAGTACCAAGTGGAATGACGTAGCTTATAATGGAAGGTTGTAGAGGACACTTGTAAATTTTTTTCCTCCACATCGCGACCCCACATCTTCAACCCTGTCGGAATGGCACGCACTTCGAAAATGGTCCGGGTAAATTTTACCCAGGTGTGGTAGCCTAGAGTTATAAATATCAATATACCTGGATAAATATGCAGATTACAATTATGAAATATGGCAACCAAAAGGCGCTACAAATAGCTTTATATAACCTCGGATGAGCGTCCTTTTTCAGCGGCACTTTTTGTCCAGCTTCGCTCATGGTGTATTTCAATTTCTTTAATTTATCAAGCTCGCGATTCCAATATCTGGACAAAAAACTGCGTTAAAATTCTAAAAAAGGGCAGATTGATTTATTGGTAAATTTGATTTATTTTATTTCTTTCGTCTTCTAACGCATTCAGATTTTAAAGAATATCTAATGTAAAATAATAGAATAAAATTGATATTAATGAATACATATAAAATACATACCATAAATTTACCCTTATATTTAAAAAAATAATTAAGATTTGTTTATTACTTCGTATAGCAAATGTAAGAGACACGATTATTACAAACAATATTATAATGTATATTCGTAATTATACATATTTGTTTGTCTCCAACTCACTTCTCAAGATGATCGGTCAGTTTTTCGGATTCGTCTGCTTTAAGTGGTCGATAAATGTCAGATTCCTCCAAATCACGCTTAACACCTATCATAAATATTTCACGCATCCACCTATATGCAATTAATCGGTATATTACGACAATATAATGACTGAAGCAATGAATAATAGCAAAAGGTATTTTTTTTCTTCTATTTTTCTTCTATTCTTCTATTTTATATTCCCTTCATTATTTTCTTCTGTCTATCAATAATGACAAATATGCATGACATAAAGAATTAAAGGCTTTAAAGGTATTATAATACAAATTTCACAAACACATTATATATAAAGCCTCAAATAAAAAACATCAGTTATTCGCAAAGTGACCTAAACTAATTATCTGTTACATTAACCAGCATGATAAAGTTTGTAAAGATGTATTGCGAGAAATCAAAGAATCTGCAGAATAGGTACTTTGCACTAACACGCGTATTTTATATTCTAAATTTACATTAATGGTGTTGTATTAGAAAAACTTAAAAGCTAAATAGTACAAGCCTGAATAGTACAAGGAAAATAAATTAATGCCTTCTTACGTGATAATGACGATGCAATGTGATGCAATATGACATATATGTGCACCTGTGTGTGTAAGTGGATTAATCATACAATTATATAAAATGTTAGCTGATATCAAGAAAAAAAAAAATAGAAACATAGCTTAACATAAATTGCTTTAATTTTTTGAATAAAAAGACAAAATTATCATAATGCTTGACCATTTCTTTAAAATAAGTATAATGCGTAAAATATACAAGGTAAAAAGTAGCTAACGCAAGTAAAAATATTTTCTATTTTGAGGAAAAAAATACCTTTTATTTTCAAAAATATTTTTTTTATTGAAAAAATAGAATTTCATTTTTAAGAAGAAAATTTTTCTTTTTTAGGCAGCTCTTCTGTCTAAAAAAAGATAAATATTTCTTCCTTTTTTTGAGGAAATCAAAATTTTATTCTAAAAAATAAAGACATTTCATTTTTTTTTTACTCTTTTCTTTTGCCAAATATATTCTTAGACAACACAACACAATTTAAGTCTTAACAAACCAAAAGAATAGAGCACTGAAGATATTCGCGGTCTCCCTTGGGTTTTGCTTCATGTCGCTCGTGTCCTTATCCATGTTGAAGCACGGTCTTACAAAATCTAATGACACTTGAAGCAAAAAAAGTCGCAAACAATTAGCATTGTTCTTTTCCTCTTTTCCCCCTCCCTTTCTGATTCGTTTCTCTCTCTCTTAAATAGTGTCTCTTGAAACACGCTTTTCAATAGTCAACTTTACTGTAACCATCAGTAACTGTGACGCTGTTTTCCATATCGGCTTTTAAAAGTATTACTGATAATGTGAAACATTAACGATAACTCCCTCCCGCACAATGTATATATAACGCAATGTATATATATAACATATGCACTAAACAATGTAACTTTTTGTTTGTCTTTTCTTTTTTAACAACATTTCATACGTTTTTCTCTACTTAAAAATTTTTTTCTTTCTTTTTTAGCTTGATTATCAAAATACAATTTTATTTGTTATTGAATCTAATTATTTGAATAGTGATTATATAATAACTATATAGACAATTATATATTTTAACAGTAACATTATTATTTTAAACAACATTTAAGAATTTTTACTTGACAATGCATAAGAGATAAACGAATTATGGGCATTAGTAAAAAATTGATCTGTCTTCTCTTTTATTTTAATTAAAGTTTAAATTGAAAAACCTTTTTTTAATTAAACTGATTAAAAAAGAGGAGACAGATAAATTTTTTGTCAGTAATTAGATTTGCACATATAACTTTATTAGATTTAATATAGTAAATTTACAATAAATTGCATTTATTACGTTACAACGTGATGTCAGTAATATTATTATTGTTTTATAATATATAAATTTTTAAAATATTTAAAATTAACTTTTAAAAATAGATTGAATTTAAATGGCTCCATTAAATCATCTTATATATGCAAATCAATGCAGTTATTAATGCGTACGATGAAGGAATAATAAACAATCCTTTCATATGAATTATACAAACTATAATGATTACTTGAACAAACGTTTCGATCCCTGGTTTGGATCTTCTTTGATGTAATTACATAGATTTGTAACACTGCAACGGCCGCAATCTCTCCTCGACGTATCTTCAATGATTAAAATTCAAATTAGGCGAATGTCAGGTTCATAATCAACAATTTTTAAAAGAATTATAATATTATTTTAAACTGATTACCTACGTCAAATAAGCCAATTATAAATAAAGCGCTTACAGAGTCCGAAGAGAAATCAAGCGTGTTGAGAAGTAGGAGTTAGTAGGTTTATTAGTAAGTTGTCTCTTTATATGTATTATCTCAGGTGTTAATCATTTTTATTAAAACTTGTTTCTTCATCTAACATTTTAATGTTGTTCCAATTAAAATTGTGGTAACAACTGAGATAGTATACAGTGAAATCGGTGCAATTCTCTTACAATTAATGTTATTTTTGCGCTTGTCAATTCTGCTTTTTAAAAGTCTACGAGTCCAATATACGATGCATCGCAATTTATGCACTCTGTTTTATAAACAATATTAAAATGCAGAAAGAGTAACGAATCTTTATGTACCGTAATACATCTATTAATTTCTGAGAAAACTAATTTGAAATTTAAAATATTTTTAAAAAATTGTATAAACTTATCTGCTACAGTAGTACTATTGTATGGAATAGTGAAATAATTTTCCTTATGTTTTAACGAAGTATAAAAAAAATTCGAACAATAATTAAATTATTGAGTTAATGAAATTTAGAGAGCAGCTTTTTTCTAATGTTAGAAAATATTAGTTCTAGCGGATATCCATCGTCTAACAAAATTTTAAGAGTAAATGCCAAGTTTTTCTCGTAAAATTCCGAATGGAATAAGTAAAGCACTTTATCTGACGAATCAATAATTGGTATTTAATAATATTTTATTCTTGATCAATAATATTTTAATATGTGAATCTTACAATTAATTCTCAATTCAGGCGCGCATAATCGTCAGTCTTTAAAACGCAACTCCAAACTGAATAGTACATAATATCATAATTAAATTATCAAAGCAATCTAAATAATTAGACGATCATTGAGAATTTTTTTTAATCTTGTGAAAATAACTTATTACGACAAATATTATCTTACCAGAATAATAATAATAACAATGAAAAATTAAAAATATAATAATTTCTTTTGTAGTCTATATACGTATATAAAGGCGTAAAAAAAATAGAGGAGATATAAGAGATTTTTCACTTTTTTCTCGTGAATCACTACATATATATAAAATTTTTAATATATTTTCTTTTAATATAAGATTTTGTTGATAGAAGTATTTATAAATTGGACTGTTCTGCGATGATAGCGTCAATCTCGTTATCGGTATTTTGCACCGACAAGTTCAATTTACGATGATTCTTCTCGCAAGCTTTCTTCGCCTGTTGCAAAAGACTTTGCGCCATCTGAATACCCGTCTTCTCCACCATTTGTGAAAAATAACCGTTCGGTTTGTCGTGCAATAGCTCGTACGGGCAATCGAATTCCTGTTGGAGTGACAATTCTGATTATCAAATGCACAAATAGGAATTTCATTCTTAAAAAAATTACAAGATTTTCTTAGCTCTTTTTAAAACACGTATTGCTCAATTGAATACTGATTTTAAAGAAACCATGTTGCAAATTATAAAAGAAAATTATTTAGAAATCTCAAAATTTTTTTCGCTATATCACAACGTATACATATAATAACATTATTGATTTAATTTTTTTTATTCCGCCTTGAGAATTCTAATTATAGAAATTCAAACATGAAATATTTAATTGATGATAGTCATTCTTTGTTGTTATTATTTAAATGTATAAGCAATTTTTCTTTGTTATCAAAAATTAAATTTATAATGTAATTATTATAATTAATATTATTATAAAAGAAACAACTTAAATAGTTATAAAATTATATCTTTTAGTTGTGTTTTAATAAATGAAATCAATATTTTTCTTAACATATTGACGCTTTAGTAAAACGGAGAAGCCCACCACAATAGAACCGTTGTCCATAACGATAATCCGATCGCTGTCTATAATGGTATTCAAACGATGTGCTATTGTAATGACGGTGCATTCTTTAAAATTCTTCCTTATTGTATCCTGAATTAAGGCATCGGTGCTGGAAACAGAAACACAAATTTAGAATAAAACTGCAAATATGTTAAATTTAGAAATCGTGCATTTATGACAGCCTCCTACCGATACAAAGTATAGATTGCTATAGAAATCTGATCCAATTTAAGGTGAAAAAAATCTGTTTTATTTCCAAAATCTATTTATTACAATATGAATATTTATTATACCTCGGCATCGGTGCTAGAAGCAGAAACACAAATTTAAAGCAAAATTTGAAAATATACAAAATTCAGAAATCAGAATTTTCTATGATACGTAGAATACAGATCTATGCTAGAAATTTGAAAAGATCTGCTCTTTTTCTAAAATCTTGGAATAATAGCGACATAAATATTCATTGTATCTGCGGATACCATGTACTGCGGAGATATCAAATTATTACGGAAATTAATAATATGATAATTGAAAATTTTAATTGTGTACTCGTACATGAGTTTATTTATCCTATTATTATTTATCCTATATTATTTATCCTATTCATTATACACCGAACAAAAAGTCAAAATCGCACGTCATCATCAAATGATAATTAAATAAAATTCTACTACTAATGAATGGTCGAGACTTACCGCGAATCAATGTTAGCCGTGGCCTCATCGAGAACGAGCAAACGGTTGTTTCTCAAAATGGCCCTAGCCAGGCATATGAGCTGCCTCTGACCGACGCTAAAATTGTGACCACCGTAGAAGACATTGTGGTCCAACGCGACGTGGTTCAGCTCGACCTGCCGCAGCGCCTCCCACAGCTTCATGTCGTCGTACTGATTGAACGGATCCAGATTATAACGCAGACTCTCGGAGAAGAGCACCGGTTCCTGCGGTATAATGGAAATTTTGCAGCGCAGCTCGCTCAGGCCCACCGTGCTTGTGTCCCGACCGTCGATCTTAATCTCGCCCTCCAGACCTTCGTTGAACAGACGGAAGAGCGCCGTGATCAGGGAGGACTTGCCGGCGCCAGTGCGTCCCATTACTCCGACCTTCCAGCCGGGCTCGATGGCTACGTTCAGATTCTACGAAGCGCGACGGCGCGATAAAACGGGAAATACGTTCGAAAGGAATAAACAATCGGTGCTTAAATTACCTTTAAAACCAATGGGCCATCCCTATGGTACTTCATATTGACGTTCTTCAAGATCAGTTGTCCTTGAGACGGCCACGTGGACGGCGGCGGATTGCCCGAGGTAATGGGCTTCTCCTTGGGAAGATTCGTATACTGAAGAATCCTCTCCACGGAGGTCATCAGCGACATCGTCTCAATGGACTCTTTTATGCCGTACTGCACACAACTGACCAGGATCAACGATTGCGATATGGCTAGACCTACTTTGCTGTCGACCACGCTGCCTGCAGCATGAAGATCAGAGATGGAATTTGTAATATCTCGAAGATTTCTAGAGATTATCCAAATATATTTTCCAAAAGACTAATCATACGTAAAAATAAAGGCAAATACACTAAAGCTTAAATATAAAAAGATTATTTGTTTATTGATGTATCCATTAATTTTTCTGTGGCTTTCTACGTTTTTACGAAATCCTTAGAAAATCTCTGGATAAATATAAAACATATTTAAATTTCAATAAGAATTTTTTAAATAATTATAATTACCATTTTTATTTAACAGTATTAGAGAGAAGCAAATGCAAGCGAGGAACAGACACATGATTAGATTTGTAAAGGCACCGAAGGATGTCGAACACGTTAAAAAGAGGTACCATATGCCGCTGTGACGGTCTTGCAACACGTCGAATTGTTTTCGCATCATCTTCTCGATTCCAGCCCCACTGCTTCTGATCGTCGGCAGACCGTTCAGCGTGGCATTCACATGCGAAAACAACGGACTCTTCGCTGAAAATGTAAATTCAAAAACTCCTAGAATTTAGAGATTCTATATTCTAGAAAAAGAATTTAATAGTCCGAATTTGGTGTGACAAGAGAATCAGACAATCAAAAAATTTAGGAAGTTAAGTACCT